AATCTATAGACCAGATTAAAGCAGATGTATTGGTTAGCATAAAAAGTTTACTGCTACAACAATCCAAGCCCACCAACATTAAAGACGCCTTGTATTTTTCAGACCTATCGCCACAATTCAAGAGCAACTCCTAGAAAAGTCCCTGACTGTCATAAATAGTGTTCATCACGTGCCCATTGCCAAGGTGTGGACAAGTACATAATGAATATTATGTAATTAACATGTATTTTCAAAATTCTGATTTCACGTTATGAAACTATGTGTCAGTGCAGTTTAAAGTCCAGCAAGCATGATTATTGATTAAATGGACTGATGTCCTTCATATAATATGTTCATAAGGTGTAGATAAATTTGCCATAAGAAAAAAAAACCTACATATTTCATAGAGCAATGCTTCAAGGTTTCGTTTTTGTAATTATATGAGTGAGCTTCATCGGCAACGGCCGAAAAAGTTTCAATGATTGGATGGAAATTGGTTATTGACGATTCTTAGGACTTGGCATTTTCGAAACAGCTTTCGTTGAATTGAGCTCAGTCCTTAGCTTTTTATTGAAGGAGACATGATGCTACTCATACTGTGTTACTTATTTTAGCAAGAACAGTTAAAGTTTTACAACGGGCAATGTATCGTTATATTAGCATGTATTGAGTAGAAAATACATAATAAAGTCTATTAAACTGTTTAACCAATATCAACAGTTATATAATTATAGAATAAGAGTTTAATTAGATGGTATTTATATATTTTATAGGGATTATATATAAAATATATATATTATAATCTATAATTTTCGTGTTTTATGTGATATAATAAAATGGCATAGTAAAATGGAAAAGTTTATTACTTCTGTACATTTCTTAACAACAGTTTTGCCCCTTCAGTGGATTGCTGCTTTAACATAGTTGAATGAGGTCTTAATTTCTTTATTAATTTGCTAGCAACAGACTCTTTATTACTTTCCACTAGCTTCAGTAAGAAGAAACATCCTCTATTTGTTGGCAACCATTTTCTAATCTGTAAAATAAAAAATTGATAATGTAATTATAGTACTTGATGTATATAACAGACATCCTGTCACCTACCATTATTATAATAAGTATGTTACTCACAGTATGTTCATCCAAATGTTGTGAAATCACTTCTCCAAGTGTACAATCCATTTTCTCTTTATCCAAGGCAGCTAGTTTCTTGAGACACATATGGATCCCAGCATCTTCAACTGCCAATATCTCTTTGCCTTCTATGTATATTTTCCAGTCTGTCTGGCAGATTACCTTTGCCAGTGCTTCTAATATTTCTTTAGTAGATTCTGTAAATAATATTTCTTTCGGTAATATAAAAAACAAATATGATATATGCTACAGCAAGTCGTAAAATAGTCGGAGGTGGAAAGTTTTAAAGTTGCTTACAGAAAATACAAGACACAGTATACGACAGACTTAAGCTCAATTTACATTGCGGCGGAAACGGAATACAAGCTAATTTTTATAACGATATTGTACATAGCATAATGAACTTTATAGTCATTTCTTTCATTCATTCATTCTTTCAGTCATTTCATTTCAAGATACGTCAATGTGTAGCTTGACGTGCCGGCGTGGTACATGAAATTAGATATTAAGTTAATCCATTTGTTGCTGATTTGTGCAATATAATTATTTCTAGTGTTTGTGCAAAGCTAGAAACTTTAGCGACAAAAATTCTCTTGAATAATGCATGTGGAAAAGTCATGTTAAAATAGGTGGATAGAGTTTAAAACTTTGTGAAATGTTTCATATTGTCTAAAAAGTTTTCGACAAATCATGAACCCAAATACCTTTTTTTTTTCTCTTCTGCTTCACAAATAAGAGAAACGCAAACAATATCCAAGTCCATTATCTTTATCATGTAAAAGATCTAGACTAAACAATTGAACACCTACTACAGGCAGGAAGAGGCAGTCACGGGATTGCTCGAGCTCCTTGAATGATCCGCGCATTTCGCTTAGGTTCCGCAACAATGTAAATTGAGCTTTAGTAGGTAAAACTAGTTTGTAAATGAAAAATAATAAATAACGCACACACTCAACATAGCCCCGCACTAGGGAAACCTTGTGTCGCGGGTGCCATGGGCACAAACAACCACAAATTACACCCAAACTACCACAAATTACACCCAAACTCACGAGAGAAATAAATGTAGGCCATACAAACATTTCTCCCGGCCCGGGAATCGAACCTGGGACCTGTGCGTGGCAGTCCGGCATGGTAACCGTTCGGCCACGGAGGCAGTTTGAAAACAATCAATTTGAAAAACTAGAAAATATGAAGCAAATGAAAGAATTTTCAATAATTGCAAGGTATAAATGGGGAACACTATAAGTTTCCGGAATTAATAAGAAAAAATACTATAAATGGCCAGAAAGGAATTTATTGTTTCTCAAAATATTCTCCGTTAGTGTTATTGCACTTTTTCCATAAAAACATTTATGCCACTCATCCGTGACAATCTCTGAAACATATTTTTCATACTCTTCGACGGCCTCTTCAGGTGATGAAAATCGTTGAACGCGTAAGTGGTTCTTAATTTTTGGAAATAAATAAGTTTTTGGTTTTTTAGTTGGTTTCGGCTCATCTTGAAAGACCCATACTACTAATCTATAAACGTAACTATAAATCCATGTTTCGTCAGCTATTAGTATGTCCCACATCAAATTTGACGCCCCATCGTTGAATCTGGTAAGCATGGCATTGCACCAAGTGACGCAATCCGTTTTTTGAGCCTCGTCAAATTATGTGGGATCCACCGAGAGCACAGCTTTTTTACACCCAAATGTTTGTGTAGTATTGATTATATTTGACTCATGCCTATGCCTAAAGATGCCCGAATCTCATGGTATGTTACATGCCTGTCTGTTTTGATCATACGGCGCAAAAAAACCAATGGTTTTGTTGTTCACAGCAGTGGACGGGATCACGAAATTCGTCACTGAGATTCACACGACCGCGTTTGAATTCAGCAAACCAGCTACAAAAAGTCGTCTTGCATGGTGCTTCATCGCCAAAAGCAGTTTAAAGCCGAGCGAAGCTCCACTGAGGTGTTAAATTACACTTAGTCGTAGAAAATCATACTACGAAAATTTTCACGAGTTAAATCCATGGTGATGTAGACAACCAATTTCTAAAATAACGCCACAATGTAAAAACAAATGACAGTCAGATGAAACAAACTGTATTCATACTGCCAAAGAGTTCCATTTTCAAACATATGTATAATTACTTTTTAAATATTGTTTAAGTAAGTGGCCAGTTCCGGAAACTTATAGTGCGCCCTATGTAACTAATATATCATTTCTTACCAATAGATAAAACAGCTACAGCCAGTAGCATAGTTGTCTTACTACTAAGCCAGAACTTTGGATTTTCCTGTAAGTCTTTTGTCAACACAGGTAAAATTGCTTCTCTCAGTTCCGTTACTCTTACGTCTGCGTCTTTCTTGGAGGTTCCACTTTTGACGCCTTCTTCGAGGAATTTTATAAAACTTGGATGAAACGCCATTGGGTCTTTTGGCTTTACCAACCAGTGTAATGTCTGTGGAAGATAATATTTTTATACATGGAAATTTATAAAGAGAAACTAGAAATCGTGTAAAATGTTACATAGTCATACACACCATATTGCCCCAGTGATCCTTGGCAATGTCTTGCACATTGTTTGCCAATGTGGATACAATCGCCTTTTTGACCAAAACTGTGTCATCAACAGAGTCAAATATGGTAATCAAAAGCCTGTAACCGGTTTTGTGTTTGCTTAATGAGACAGCATGTTCTTTTACTACCTTCAGAATAGTCTGCAAGAATAAATATGAAATTAGTATATTGTCATTATCTGTCCAGTTAAAACTATAATATCTACTAAAATATTTAGCATTTTTGGTGGCCAAATTAATTGAGGATCTAAAAATAGTATCATAATGTTTGTACCTTTTTGTCTTTATTAGTGCCCTGCCAAACACACATGCTAGCTGCATTGACACCTGGAAGTGAATTACTCAGTGGCACAATCAAAGAGCTCAATGTAGATATCAGTTCTACACGTTCTGCAGGGTTACACACTTGCAAGTAGTCATAAAGCACTGAGTGAAGGAGTCTGAAATATATACATTTTTTAAAGACATGTTTTAAGTGAAATTGTTGAACCCCTAGCATGATTCCTTTGCATGGTTTCATGGTTTGGCATGTGCAGTTAGTTGTTTTAGCTAGTCCCTTCAATAAAAGATAGTATTATTGTGTCAACTATTAACTGCATAGCATTAATTTATACCTAAATGAGTACATATTAAAATATAATTTAATAGAATAATAATTATTATGTAAGGCTTACTCTCCATCATGCAGATTTTTATCTAGAATTCTTTGTATGTTGGCTTTACATGATTGCATAATGGCACCTTTCATCTCAGGGCTATCTTTGTATGTGTCACCGAGTGTCTTTACTTTATCATCTTTTGTCTGAAAATGAGAGAAAATTATAATGTGCACTGTTTCATCATTTTTAGGCAACACCACAAAATTATGTTTAGTAAAAAAGAACCAAACATGTAGTTTAAATTAAAATACTGTTTTATTTGTGTTGGGTCCTTATATATCCTAATAATAGCAATCAAGGTAAAAAACTATTTACTTACATTTTTATACATGTCACCATAAAATTCCTGGTGCATATGAATTTTCTCTTTCTTAGTAGCAAATTCGGTATAGGCATAATTCAAAATGGGAGCACTGATACTATGTGCTGCTAAAGAAACTATGTGTCCGTAAAATTTCTTTAACACTTCATGACGAATAAAATCTGTACCATACTTTAATATACGCTTCACAGCATGTTGAGCATATTTTGATTGCACCATTTGGACAATAAGGTCCAATAATTCCTCGGTTATTTCAATCTTTACGTCTTCAGGACTGTATTTAAGTAACACCTGTATAACTCTGCTCAGATCATGTGTTAGAGCAATAGATTTGTACTGTCCTTTCATTAAGCCATGTAGCTCTTTGCAAGCATTTAACTTGAAATCCTGTTTCACCACTTTCCTAAAATACATAGAGTATGATACAATAATTCAGGTAAGAAACTATACAAGTATTTTTTAGAAAACTGACCAAAGTGTAAAGCTTAAATTACCATAAGCATATAAACTACACTTATAATACCTTTGTATTTGTGCAGCCAGCAATTTAGCTTTATGCGAGATCTCAAACACCTCAGCACTAGCCTTTGCTTTACGCCTCACGATCCTCAATTGTTTTTTTTCCTTCTTCATCTCTGACCACTTTGGTTTGTCTCCATTAGCGCCTTCTTTTGAGAACTGTTTGTCTTTAGGAAAATTTGATTTACCATGGCCAGGTTTATTGAGGTTTTTAGCTACTTTTGGACCGCTCTTGTTAAACTGTACATTCTTTCCACCTTTATTTAAAAATTTCTTTTCGCCTTTCTGATTTAAATGCGATTTGTTAAACTCCCTTACTTGTCCATTTAAGTTCTCTTTTCCACCGGTCTTCTCCGCCTGATTGTCTTCGGATTTAACGAATTGCACTTTCTTTTTCTTGGCCACAGGCGCGTCTCTCGCATTGCCTTTTATTTTAGTTTTCGGCATTTCTATTAAAAACAAGTGCAGAGGTTACAATTACAGTTTGAGGTTACAAACAAAATGTCAGTGTTTTTTTTTTCAAAACCCATTACATTACTTACCTTAAAAGAAATAAACACTTCTTAATTGAATAAAATGTATATATATTTATTAAGTATTTAATTTTGTACAAAACTACACGTGCGGTACTGTACAGAAGTTGAAATTGACAATTTGACTTTATTTTTTTTTACAGTACTCTGTCTGTGGCTTTCACTGTTGCCAGACTAAGGTCTACGCAAAGAGTACTAACTTGGTCCATTGTATCGTAATCCTGCATTACACGGCGCCGGCGGCGGCGGCGTACTATAGGTATCTCTTATTAGTTTGTGTACGTACTGTCTCTATCTAATTTGTGTTTGTGGTCACACACACCGGACACAACAAAATATGTCTTTCTTGGCTCAAATTTCAAAGTACCCAGAGCCGTAAAAAAACAAAATATGTCTGAACATGTTTTGTTTTTGTGCCGTGCACGAAGTAATTTTAAAAATAATGAATTTATTATTGCAAAATATTTCATTTATGGAGTTATGTTTTCGTAGCAATTAATGATACAAACAAATAAGAAATTATTTGAATATCGAACACCTATTACGATGGCTGATATAAACAAATATCTGGAATCGCAACTAGCACTCGCGAAACAAAAATGTGAAAACAGCAAGAAAGAACACAATGTTTCTGATAAAAGCAGAGCTGCTGCAGAGTCGATAGGAAAGAAACAAGGCAAGACCAAGAAATGCGTCAAAGAATCTACGAATGCAGGACATTCGTCGTCGAAAGGTGGTACGTCTGTGAATTCCGATGAAGACGAATATTTACCTTCGTGTGATGAAGAAGATGAACATTTTTCACCTTCTTTTCCAACGTTTTCCCGCGTAAAACAACATGTTAAGAAAATTATCGACGATGGGGATACTACGCTTTACAATGAAAGAGTGAGTAACTGGAAGAAGGACTTGGCGGCGGCGTGTGCAAAAACATACAAAGGCGATCCATACACTGCTGATTTACAATACGTTTTGAGTGGAAATGATGATCCAAATGAACTTCATGAACTGCAGAATGGCTTATGCGTTCCTAATTACATCTGGAAACAGCTTTATAAATATCAGAAGATTGGAATTAAATGGTTATGGGAACTTCACCAAACTAAGTCCGGAGGTCTTCTTGGCGATGAAATGGGCTTAGGGAAAACTGTTCAGATTATAGGTTTCCTGACTGGCCTCTGTAAGACAGACAGTGGTTCTTGCGGTGGCCTGGGACCGTCTATAATTGTTGCTCCAGCTACAGTTATTTTCCAGTGGGTTTCACATTTTCATTACTGGTACCCATCGTTAAGAGTAGCAGTATTGCATCACTCAGGCTCGCATGTTGGAAATCATAATAAACTCATTAGGGAAGTACAATCCTCGCATGGTATCTTATTAATTACATATGCAGGTGCTGTGAGGTATGCTGCTGATTTAATGTCTCGAAAATGGCACTACCTCATTTTGGATGAAGGGCACAAGATCAGGAATCCAGAAACTCAAGTTAGTAAGTTTATTAAAAAATTCCAGACACCCCACAAAATACTTGTGACTGGTTCTCCAATGCAAAATAGTCTTCAAGAACTATGGTCTTTATTTGATTTCATGCGGCCAGGATTACTAGGTACTTATAATGTATTTATGGAGCATTTTGCTCAACCTATAACTCAAGGTGGATATGCCAATGCCACTGAATTGCAAGAAGCATCAGCATTGGAAATTGCTAAGGCATTGAAAAACATTATTACTCCATATATGCTGAGAAGAACCAAAGCTGAAGTTCAAGAACACATTAATTTACCAGAAAAGAATGAGCAAGTGTTATTTTGTGCATTAACTCGTGAACAGCGGGATTTGTATATGGGATATCTTATGAGCAGCACAGTGAGAAGTATACTTGATAAAGAAAGTAGATTTGGGGATCCTTTGCGGGCTAGAGTGTTAGTTGCACTGTCTACATTACGAAAAATATGCAATCACCCAGATTTATACTTGTATGAAGCCCAGGAAGAGATGGAACACATTGACGTAGAAAAGTTTGGTCATTGGAAAAGATGTGGAAAGATGACAGTTGTGAATTCCTTATTAAAAATCTGGCAAAAACAAGGTCACAGAACTCTAATGTTCTCTCAATCCAGAGCCATGCTTTGTTTATTAGAACAGTATTTACAAAACCAAAATTATAAATACTTGAAAATGGATGGCACTGTCAGTGTTGGTCAGAGACAAAGTCTGATCAAAACTTTTAATGAGAGTTCAGAGTACTTGGTGTTTTTGTCAACAACGAGGGTTGGAGGATTAGGGGTCAATTTGACTGGTGCTGACAGAGTAATCATTTACGACCCTGATTGGAACCCAGCTACTGATAACCAAGCTAAAGAAAGAGCATGGAGAATAGGTCAACATAGAAATGTCACTGTCTACAGATTGTTGTCTGCTGGAACTATTGAAGAAAAAATATATCAGAGACAGATCTTCAAACATTTTTTGAGCAACAAGATTTTGATTGATCCAAATCAAAAAAATGTTCTTACTACCAGTACTTTACAAGGTCTGTTCACTTTAGAAGAGCTGAATAGTGAAGGAGATACTGAAACTGCATCCCTTTTTAAACACACAAAAGTGAATGTAAGCCACAAAAATATGGAAAGAAATAACAGTGTGCCTTTAAGTGGAGGTGTCTCATTTTCAAAGAAAAGATTGGATGAAATGAAAAGGATGGCAAAAGAGATTAGTAAAAAAATTTCGAGAGATACTGAAAAAGCAAAAGAACCCAAAGAAGATCCTAGGGAAAGGTATAAGAAAGAAAGGGAACTGTTACTGAATCCACCTCAAGTTGAAGAACCTGAAATCAACTTGATTGATGACAAAGTGACTGATGTTCCATTTGACAATGTTTTATCAGAACTTGATATAGTTACAATGCATGTTAAGAAAGATTACGAAGAGAATTTGATTAAGGAAGTTATAATGAAAAAGGAGGAACTGGAAGAAGGAGAAATATCGGATGTTGAAGAATCAAAAAAAGATGCTGATGAAGAGGAACCTGAAAAAGTTAATAAAGATATACCTATAGCAGCCAGTAACTTAAAACCACTAAAAGACGAAAGGCCAGAGCAAGAATTCTCACAGCATAATGTAAACATTGTTAAGGATAAAGATAAAATTGCAAATCGACGAAAACGAAAACATTCACGTTTAGAATCTGAGATAGAGAATTTGGTAGCAGTGAAAAAAGTGAAAAAGAAGAAACACAAAAGAGATAAACAAAAGAAACTTGGTAATGATGATGATTATGTTCTAAGCAAACTATTTGCAAAGTCTTCAGTAAAAAACGCTTTACAACATGATGTAGTAATTGGATTGGCAGAGAAAGAAAGACGGATCAGAGTACAAGAGGAAGCCTCGAGGACGGCGAAAAAGGCCATTAGGGCAATTAAATATTCCCCAGAGTAAATATTTTATTATGATTAGGTATATTATAGCTAGTGTATGAGTTAAGTTAATATAAGGTCTAACCTATAGTGAACACAATATCTTTGTTATCTTAATAAAGTTAATTAATAAAATATTTGAAGTCTTAATCATTTTTTAAGTTAACTAATTTGCAAAAATGTGTGTAGTTGACGAAATATTATTTGCACCGATTCATCTCATCGTTATATCTTTCATTATATGACAAAAGGTTGAACTGTCTCTTTAACGCATTTGACATTATAGCGTAAACTTGATATTTAATGTATGTACGATAAAAATAGATTAAAAATGATTAAATTACACTTGAAAAAAACAAGATAAAATGAACCTGAAGATAAAGATAACTCAATTTATCATTTGCAAATAACAGAAGATATTTATTCAGAATCACTTCTATAGTTGTTGAAGAATGAGGATCGACCACAACAAAATATAATTGGAATTTAAACATTACAGCGCATGGGTATTTGCGAGTACTTTACTTTTTAAATTATTTCTACCCATTAAGAAATAATTCCAATTTTTATTTTAGCTTCATCGTAATAAAGTAAAGTCAAAGAAATAGGACTTTTATTTTTTCTAAAGTATTTGCGAAAATTATTTACGACAATTTGTATGATTAATTCAATGCAATGGTCGGAAGGTCGGAGGTATTCCACATACAAAGATACATGAAGCCATAGCCACATATAGCTGCTAGGAGTGTTATAGAGTTGTTAAAACCACTGAATAATGTTTAGCGATGACTTTTTGAATTCCGGATTTCGGGAAATGGTTTTACTGCATCGTAGGACAAAACTACTCATGTCAAAGTTTGATTTTAATTGTAGCGGTGCCATGTAAAAAAAATGCAGTAGATAACTAACTTTTCGTTACAGTTAGTTAGTTTCGTTACAATTTTTCATACAGCAGTACAAACCTGCTTGGAGGAAGAAATAACGTCGGGGATAGTGCAAATCCGCGTACGTAGTATTGGTGAACCAAATTTCACAGGAGAGGGATTTAACGTTATTACTTTGTTATTTCAATGGCTACGACTTTCATTTTTGCACACCAAGCATTAATTCATGTCGTCTACGGACTGATAACAATAGATCCCCGTAAATCACGCTAATTTGGTTGCCACGACATTTACACGGTTTTGATTTGGTGACTAAATTACCGAAATGGAGACTCCTAATCAAATGTTAGTTCCCCCGACAATAAGTATGATGGCAGTACGTCTCTAGATGAATTCTTTCACAGGGAGCTCTACCTACTGCTACTGGAATGAAGGTAATGACGAAGATGCTAATAATGCTGATGCGGTTGATGATATTATTATATAAATGTTGATGTTGCTGATTATGCTTTGATTCTGATGTTGCTGATGACTGATGATGCTAATGATATTGATGGTGCTGATGATGATTATGCTAAAAGTCCTAATAATGCCGGTGGTGATGGTGCTGATGCCAATATCGATGTCATGCCTGATTACTCGTCATCATCAGCACCAGCAGAATCATCAGCAGTACCAGCTTCATCAGCAGTTTTAGCATAATCTTCATTTTTTCCATCCTCTAAGGAAATCTAGCATCCTAGGATATTCTTCCATAGTTTGTTTTTTTTTTGTCTTTGTATTATTCTTTGCTATAGCAAGTTTTTTCGATCTACTAAGCTAGCAAGTAGCAAGATTTCTTTCATTGGCTAAATGCGAAGGCAAAGCATTAATACTAAAAAAACACAAATCTTCTCCTTAGTCTATGACAAATTGTTAACTGTCAAAAAACTACTCGATCTACAAACTAGACAGTGAAGTGAAGTGAACTAGACATGGGGAATAGCGTTACATTTCTATCGCCGTGACCGTCGTTCCGGTTCCAAAAAAAAACACAGTGTTAAATCATCGTGATTTTGTCACGACTGTTACTTCCGTGACCTTGTCACGCCTATAACGTACATCACGATATACGGTTTTAGCCAGCGGCTTCTTTCTAATACTTATAGCCGTTTTTTATACAATGATTTAAGTTTTTACTCCCTTTGCAATAAGTTTAAATTCCATCCAAAGTTAATTTTGTATTTAATGTAATTTTGTTTGTTACTTATGTAATGCGAATCTTAGGATTGTTAAAAATAGCAATAAAGTACAATGTAATTATATGTCTATTAGAATACACAAAATAGATTATACATAAATATAAAATACCAACTCTTCCTATAATAATACAAATATACAAAAATATTTTACTTTGTTCATAAATAGGTTTATAATAACTGCTGCAGACTTTTTTCATCCGCCCTCTCTAGTAGTAATAAGCACCTACGACCCTTGTGAGTGAGAAAAGAAAGTCATCCTATTTCATTCGTTCTCATCGCCGAAATGGCTCGATTTGAAGAGAACTACAACGAGTGGCGCGCTCAGTTACCACGGAACGGAGATCGCGCATTGTATCAAATACGTATGTCGTGATGTGAGAGACGGAGATAGCTATTGGAACGGAGGAACACCTATGTGACTTTGGAACGTCGTTCCTTCGGAACGAGTCACGGTGATACTGTTTGCCGGCGGATCATCGTGACGTTATTTATCACCCACCTCTACTACAAACGACGGAGCCATAGATACAAAAGTTGAAGTTGAAACTTATTATAGAGATATTTTGTAAAAATACAGATAAATATTGTGATTAACTAGTTGATTTAATATAAACCACCTCCCGGGTGCGTCGCCGCTATGTAATTATTACGATATACGTTGATTTTTTAATACAACGAAGGTTACAGATACGGTAGCTTTGCAGTGTTGCTTGGAGGAATTTCACCGTGGAACATTGAATTATTTGCCAATCATTGCGTTAAAAGGGCCCCTTTAAAATGTCTGGACGGAAAAAGGGCCCTGGCTTGAAGATCACGCCTCCAGAGGCGCCTATAAATGTGTAAGTTACAGTCATAACACGGTCAACATTTTATCATAGATTTACTATATAATACCATTTATTTTATGTTTAATGTGATAAAAACTGTGTACTGACATAAATTGTAGGAACAAATTTTTGTATGCAAATTCCTGTGCTACTTCCATACAAAATATAAAATTTCTGTGCAATAGCGAAGTCCCTATTAGTTGCCTGGCTCAAGATACAGTATATTTTTGATTGAGAAATCATGTTCCATGTTTAGGGAAGTCAGTACACTTATTAATGTTTGAATGAATGCTTGCAACGCTTCCACTAGACTGCCAATGCGACATCCTATCCTTATTCGTATACATTATGAATTCATATTAAATAATACTATAGTATTAAAACTGCTCTTCACAGGACCCCACCGCGGAACCTGGACAAACAAACAACTATTACAGTGGATGACAAAACATTCACAGTCCACGCAGATGACCTTGTAAAGATATGTGACCTTGGACGTGGAGCTTATGGTATTGTGGAGAAAATGCACCATAGACCAAGTAACACTACCATGGCTGTTAAGGTATAAGGTGGAATTCTGATTTAGTTTCGCTTTTGGAACTTCTTAGTAACTAATTTCTTCACTGATACTGATGACAATCGCAATAATTTTTAGAATATTTTATTAAAACTACCTGGACACTGGCAGAATTGTCCTCCGTGGGACAGAAGCTAAAATCATAATAATTAGTAACATTCTGAGAAACAAAAGTTAAATCAAAATATCAAATCATATTGGCATAAAAATGTTGTTTATGTGCTACAATTCTAATGTAGAGCTTACAAGAAATAACAAAACTAAAAAAGAACATATATCAAGAAATAAAAAAAATCATTATTTTCAGAGAATTACAGCATCATTCAGCACACAATCACAGGAACTGAAGCGTCTCTTAATGGACCTTGATGTCTCCATGAGAGCTAGTGCATGTCCATACACAGTTCATTTCTATGGAGCTATGTTCCGTGAAGGAGATGTCTGGATCTGCATGGAGGTCATGGACATGAGCCTGGACAAATTTTACGCAAAGATCTATAAGAACAATCGTACCATACCTGAAAATATTCTGGGAAAAATTGTGTTCTCTGTTGTTAGTGCCTTGCATTACCTATACTCCCAGCTTAGGGTCATCCATAGAGATGTGAAACCATCAAATATACTCATTAACAGAAAAGGAGAAGTCAAAATGTGTGACTTTGGCATCTCTGGGTACTTGGTTGACTCTGTAGCAAAAACAATAGATGCTGGTTGTAAACCGTACATGGCTCCAGAAAGGATTGATCCAAGTGGCAATCCCGGCCAATATGATATCCGGAGTGATGTTTGGTCTTTGGGTATTTCTATGATTGAACTGGCCACTGGAAAATTCCCCTATAACAGTTGGGGAACGCCATTTGAGCAACTGAAGCAAGTTGTTAAAGATGACCCGCCACGACTGCCTAGTGGCCAGTTTTCTGAAGAATTCGAAGATATAATTACAAAATGCTTAATGAAGAACTATAAGGAGAGGCCGAATTACGATGCTTTATTAGCACATCCCTTCTGTCAGGAGCATAGTCTAAAAGATACAGACGTGGCTTCCTTTGTACAAGAAATATTAGACTTACCCGATGACTCCTAGTGGTAGGAAGATCTTCGTTATACGTACCATTAAGTACAAGTGTTTAGTTACTAACATTATGTAGATTGTTATGGAGACCGCAATTAATATTGTTATTAACAAATTATTTATATATAACTAATTAGGGGGTGAGCTATAGTGTGTGCTGTGTTTTTCTGTATTTTATTTGTTGGACAAAGAAATGTTCATTGTATAAACAGGGACCGGAATAAGCAGCATATATTTATCTAAACTTTTAAGTAGGTAGTTTAAGGTTTTTTATAAAGTGACCATGATATCACTACGACCGTGTCTGCAATTCCAGAGAAAATATATGAAAATCACGATTGCTGTAATCATAAAGCTGTATTAGCTTTCATTGATGCAAATAAAGTGCAGAAAATCGTGAAAGAAAATGGAGAGCTTTGTTTTTATTGTGTAATTATGTAATCAAAGTTAACGTAGTTGAGACAGCTGAACTCAGAACTGCCTTGAATAAAGATATTGTTATTTGGCATTAAATATGTGGAACTTACTGTCTATACATCACAAATTAATTAGTCTAATAAAAAACATTTTGTTTCCATATATTGTTTTTTTTTAACTAAAATTATAGCTCACGCTCACCATTCTCATTAGACATGGGCGCCGCACCACCTTTTGATTTCACTATGATTCAGTAACGAGGTATAGAAAAATGGAAACAGTGAAGGATCAATGTAAGGTTTCTGTTTCTGGGCGTTTACTCTCGTATTCCATCCGACATCTGTCTTAAACAAATTACTGTCAAATCAGTTAATTATTAGTAGCAGTAGAGCTCCTTGTTCGTCCAAAGAGTTCGTTCAGGGAATTACTGCCACCTTACCTATTTATGCTTCTCCTTGTGAACACCTGACTGGTTCACCTGGGTGGACCTCTGGCTATTATTTCTTCCCGTGGGTCACCTATGTCCACCTGGATGGACCATGGGCAATTATTTCTACCCGTGGTTCACCTAGGTTTTCTTATCTCGTGAATCACCTTATTATTAAAATTCCTTAAATATTCCAATTGCAAAGATATAAGACTACTTTATTGTTTATTAATTGAAAATTTTAATGAATTTAATTTGTTGTGGGTATAAAATGAGTAGTGATGAGTGAAGAACTTAATTTCATCCTGAGAATATAAATAAAAATATTTAAGTATAAGTTTAGAAAAGATTAATGTTGATGTCTTAAAATGCTAGAGACAATTTTATTTTTGTTATATCTTTATTTTCATTTTCGAGTTGAGCCAACAATATACAAGTTTTATAAGTATTGTAAAATTTGTGGATTTTGCTAAATAATAATATTAATAAATATCACGCAATAAACATAAAAAAGACTTTCTGTGCATAGGTATGCAAATATTTTTTAAAACGATATTATTAAATTATAATGGCCAGCATCAAACTGTTAATGTTTGTGGACCACCACCAATATAAGTTTTGTGTATTTGTATTTTATACGAAAGAGGTGAATCACGGGAAGAAATAATTGCCCGTGGACCACCTGGTTGGAAGAAGCGCCTATTTACTGCCGCCAAGCAGTAATGTCAGCATTACTATGTTCCGATTTTGAAAGGCAAGGGCGTTGGTGTAATTAGGCTCAACTCACACTGGCGCACAGTGGAAGCGTCGCGATGCGTCATGTTTTTCGCCTATACCATATTCATCTCTATTTTCCTATAATTAAGGTACAAATTTGTGTTTTGCAAATATGGAATCGAGTGTTGACGCCTGGTAGCATTCGAGCGGCTTCAGTCAGACGCCACTCACACTGTGATCCAGGCGCACTAATGCGACCGTCGTCGCGCGTTGCCAGGCAGTATAGTTGAAAAACAGGACGCGACACAACGCTTCGATTCTTCGCCAGTGTGAGTTGAGCCATACAGGCACACGGGACTTGTCAACTTGCGATGTAAAGCTGCTGAGTGGCATTGCAACTGTTATGGCCAGGCTTGTAGTTTACCATTAGGCACACGTGTTGTTCGTCCCAACACTAGATATTATATATAAAAATAATCTCAGTACAGAGTACTAAAAAGACCGACCTCAAAAGTACGTGGAATTACGTCTATTTGCTAAGTTTCATTGAAATTGTTTGTATTGAAGTTCGCCACTATACAGGACTTGATACTGGAGATAATAAAAATAGGTTCTCACTACGACACTACTCAAAGTATATCGAGAGAAAAACGCCTTGAATTGGAGAAATAGCAAAATCAACTAAATAATTGCTAAAAGCAATTAGCTCCTAAATTAAAGTTAGGCGCTATTTATAAAAATGAATCTTCATGCGTGAACAGCCACCCTTTGAGGCGGATGATTTTCTTCAAAATGAAATGGGACCACTATGGAAGTACCCCCTTTTCAACAAAAAAAGAATCATGAAAATCGGTTCACAAATACCGGAGTTATCGCGTAACATACATACAAAAAAAAATAGAACATAAAGACGAATTGAGAACCTCCTCCTTTTTTGAAGTCGGTTAACAAAAAATATATTACTCGACCAAATCAAAAGGCAATGTCAAGTATGAACCTTTACTCGCATCATGTTTCTTTTTGATTGGAACTTTGTTTTAATGTTAAACAATACGTCACGTTGATTTGACGGCGATCTCGCCACCGCCACAGAGCGAAGAACCATCGCACGTCACTGCCGACGTTTTTATGTCTAGCTTACATTAAGTTCCATTTTTAAGCAACACACTAAGCCAATTGGCCAACGAGCTTATAAAATTGGCCGGGAAAAGCGGGGCGCAAGGCGCAATTACATTGCCGCAGTAGGCAATGGAAGCTAATTTATCGTTATAGATAATTTATCGTTACAAAAATTCGCTTCAATTCCTTTCTGCCGCAATATCAATTGAGCCTTAAGTGTACATGCTCTATCGTCGATTTCATAGTCAAATTCCACCAGGTGAGATGGAGAGTGGATATTTTTTAACAATAAAAAAGATATCTCGCTACAACGTTGTCACACTGGATTTTGAGAGTAAACAAAAAAAAGCCATGTAACTTTTGTTTTGTTTATTAAACAACAATAGTCCGTCTAAAACAGTATCATAGAGTTATAAATAAGTACAAAATAGTGACATAATGTTAGGCCCGTTATAAGTACTTCACATTTTTTCTTATAAAATAAATACTTAAATTCAACCTTGTATTGGCTTCGTTATGATTTGTGAAGGCTGAAATGTGTAAATAGATTTTTATAATTCCGCAATATGTCGGCGAGGACAATTATTTTACTTCATAGCCTTTACAGTCAAGAGCACATCAAGCTGGACACTTTGGACATTTTTCCATTAAATTTTTGTGTGTTGTAGTTAGTGATCAGAATTGGGCTGAGGGAGTTAATTTTTTAAGGGAGTTAAATTTACCTAACGTTTTCTTAACGTTGACAAACCAATTTCGCCATCAATGTGTATAAAATTCCTTTTTTTTTACTTGATTATTTTCTCATGTTTATTTTTTAAATAGCCAAAGAATTTAAATACGCAAGCACCTGCAGAAACACAACTGCAATATTATTTTTTGAGACAATAATATAGCAAATACTTAATAGAAAAGAATGATTTGTCGCCAATGCAAATTTCAATATCAAATCTCAATAAATTTCAATAAATAATACGCCTATTGAACTTATTATAATCAGTTCCGAGAATTCACGGGATTTGTAGAAGGGAATGTCCACATTATTCTTTAGTTTCGCACAATTAACGCTCTCAATTGCGATCGCTGGTTATAGTCCAACTATATTAAGGATGATTCCGCCAAAGCCGCGATTCTTCTTCTTTTACCTCATTGGAGTTTTTGTCTGAGTAATCTTAGCGCTTCCGCAGGTTCAGCTGTTCAACGTGTATTGTGGGTGTACAACGTGGTAAAGACAAGCTTTCGTATTAGATTTTGAATTTTGATATTGCAGAACTGTTATATACATATATAATCTTTTTAAGAAAACTTTTTCTAGAACAAAAGTTGTTGTTTATGATAATCGTAGATTAGTCCTGCGAGGTTGTAAAATATGTACTAAATACATTGACTTACAATTATATGGACGTCGGGTCCGCGCTAAAAAGTGTCCGCACTTGTAAGGCGCTAAAATCGTATACAGAGCGCGACACTCCGCTTTAGTCTTCATTTGTTCTACGGACAGCGCGATACTGCGATGACATAACAATTTAAATTTCGAATAGGTTGACTTGGGACTTTTTTTCGTGGTTTTTGTATTAGACCCGTCGTCCATTTATTTGTAAGTCAATGACTAAATAGTACATATTTTACAAATAACCGTACATATCACAAGTGTTAACATGCAGTGTCGATACAACCTCGAATGGCTTTGGTTGGTTCCGCATAACAGCGAAAGTGTTAAATCAATCACTATGGAAAAATTATATACCAAATTTAGGATATACACTGATTAGTATACGGTGTGAAAACATGATTCTTAAAAATTTTCACGATAGAAAAAAAACACAAACTTACCTCGAAATTTTACAATAAAACCGCTGTATTCAATACGTACTTTACACATACCAATGATTTTTGTATATCAACTGAACTAAATACAACACGTATAGTATACGATATACAGTTTCCAAATGGCTTCAATTTCATTTATAAAAAAATGAATTCTGAAATAAAGCCAGTGTCCTGCCGCTCGACCCAAGCGAAATGAACCGTATTAGTACGGGAGAAAGTTTGATTCGGGTAGAGGAAGTATCGACACGCGTTTGTTAATCGGAATTTGATCGGTGGTTTCCGGTGGCAGACTTCATTTAGAGCGATATTTACTATAAAGGAAGCTTGTGCTTCTTTATTCTTCTTTATGATTAATGTAATTACTACAGAAAGAAATTGTTAAAAACGGGGGGTAGGATATCACAACAAGGAAATACGATACAGATGCAGTAAAATGGACCATTGTTGTTGTAAACGGTATAGAGTTGAATGTACACCTTAATTATCAAACTTGACGTGCTCTTGACCAAATACATGTTTAAAATTTCAAATAAATTATAAAATTTCACTAAGCGTAATTGACTAGATCCAAATGCGTTTAGAACGGTGAGTTCATTCCTAGTTTGGTGCCGAAGTCCAGTCGAGCGCGCCTCTGGTTCCGATTATCCACTCTGGAAATAATGATTATATTATAGGGTTTATCGTGCTACATAAGTTGTGTGTATGTATGAGCTGTGTCCACAACATTTAGTAGCTGTAGAGCTCCTTGTGAAAGAATTCGTCCAGGGTATTACTGCCACCTTACCTAGTTCTGCCGCTAGGCAGTAATGTGAGCATTACTGCGTTCCGGTTTTGACTTGTCAACCTATGAGTCAGGTGACGGGCGCAGATCTTTCTGATTTAAAGCTCTGTGTGGTACTGTAACTGTTATGGACAAACACGTCGCTTACCAGCAGGCCGAGAACTTGTTCGTCCCGTAACTTGGTTTTTATTTTTATTTATTTATTTGCAAACTTTACAGGTTTTAAATTTGGTTTACAATTCTGAATAATCTACTTACATAGCCAATTACAAAGTTTGTCAGATTACAATTTCTTTTGTTTACGTTACCTAAAAATTAATTCGACGCCAGAACGAAGCGACTTAAAATATTGTTTATCGAAGAACATAATTAACAATAAATTAACAAAAAATAACAATATAATTAACATAAAATCTCACAACTGTGATATTCGTCGCACATTAATGAAACTGTGTTGTAAATACTAAGTCTCCAACTGTGAAAACAGTAATCTTTCTTAATCAACCCACTCACACTAAGAATCCGTTTTTCAACCGTTAGTAAATGTGTTTTTCGTAATAAATCTCTAATAAATTTTGCAACGTGTTGTTTACAATAAGGATCTAAAACTGTATTTTACAACATGGTACTTACTTAATTTCCTGCCACTTAATAAACTCGTTAAGCGCGAAGGTACCCAAAATAGAGATGATATACGCCACTATGAGGGACCACGGCACATTGTACTGATAATCACACAAGTCCCATTGTTCACATTCGCCATATTTGTAGCTCGATATCGTCGCGCTGAAGATTGTTTGGAGGATTATTCTGTAAGAAAAACAATTATGAATTTTTCATACATTCTGAATCACTTCGACAACATTTTTTTTTGTCATTTAAAAGTGGCAACACAATAATAAACGTACATAAAAAAAATAAACATCAGTTTGGTCCAGCTAATTTAGAAAGAAAAGAAAATAAAAAAATGGCGGGGTTTATTTTAAGTTTATTACGTTCCGAATTCCTTAATTGACGCAACCAGCGCAAAAATGGTGTGACCCACTTTTTTTTTTCAACAATATTATTTTAAATGATACCAAAGTACATAATTACTTTATATTTGGATGCTATTTTCATGTGTGAAAAATATTTCATTATTATTATTTTTTATAAATGAAAATAGCATATAACTATAATAATTATATATTTGGTATCATTTAAAGTAATATTATTTACAATAGAAAAAGAATGAATGACAGGAAAAAAAGTGCGTTACACCACTTTTGCGCTGATAGCCTCAATTATTCGTACCTTTGTAAGCCAATGTTCAATAAATAAATTAATTTAAAAAATCCAGTTCATTAAAAATCAGACTGTGTTCCCGTGCAAGCATTCACCCTAACAATAAACTTTTATTAGATTACATTGGAAGATATGAAAAATAAACTTACAAAATCACTACGGTCGCAGTCCAAACAATATTCGTCCAAAAGCCCTTTTGCCAAATTGAATGGTGTCGATGAATGAAACATATCGATATTGCAACTGTAAAAATAAAGAATATTTTGTATGGAGTTTCACGTTTTTTTTTACACAAATCTAACTAAAAAAAATAAAAAAGGTAACGTTATAATTTTAAAATATAAAAAAACAGCAAAACATGCTCTGTAAATGCCCAGGTTGTCCTTTGTGACGTCACAGGATTGCCGAGTTTATGAGTGGTTTTAACAAAATTATTACTGGGTAATAGAGGTCGAATAGCAAGATAAAGATACCTAATATCATCGAAGATTAAACCGGCATGTAAACTGGCATTAAAATGGGCATACCAGTGACGTATCATGGTAGCTAAATGGTTTGACCTATCGCTTCTCAAGCAGAGCCGGGGGTTCGAATCTGGGCTTGCCCTTTTGAGCATTTCGGAATTTATGTGCTAATTTAAATTTGAAATTTATTATGAGCTTTTCGGTGAAGGAAAACATCCAGAAGAAATGCACACATGCTCAACAGTTGGACTATGTATAGGCTAACTGTTATTATATGTATATATCAGTGACGTAGTACTCTAACGAGACAACTTGTTAATTTATTGTCCTTGACAAGTAAATTCAATACTTTAGGAAATGAAACAATTTTTTCGGATTTAAATTGCGTATACATATGTTTTTTCAAACATACCAACTTTTCGGACCCTTTACAGGTCCCATGGTCACGGCTGCGTCAGAATATATGAGGCTATCAGTACAATAGGGGTAAACGTAAATAATATTCAATTGTTTTTTTTTACAATGGTACTGTAAGTTTAATAATATTTTTTTTACACATGAGACTTGTCAACTTATATCTCAATGTGATACCACCAGGCCCACGAGTTGTTCGGTTGTTCGGCCCGTTCACTTGGTATTATAAAAACATCGAAATATAAAATAATTATAAGTAAATAAAAATAATAATATTAAATAATATTAGACAACATGACATACGTCGCTCTGATCTCTAAGTATGTAGCTAAAGCACTTGTGTTATGGAAATCGGAAACAACGTACCACAAACACCCAGACCCGAGACAATATAGAAACGTTACTTCTCTACACTGACCCGGTCGGATATTGAGACTGGGACCTCTAGAGTAGGCGACCCCACGAAAACCGTGGTGCAAGCCACTCGACCACGGAGGCAGTAAAATTATTACGTATTTATAGGAAATGAAACTATTTTTCCGGATTTAAATCGCGTATATTTGTTTTTTCAAACAAACCGACGTTTCGGGCCCTATACAGGTGTATCACGGAGAGTGTGCGATGGAATTGCATAATTTGATTCCGCCTTCCCCTTTCCATCATCGGGAGACTAGACGTGGACGGGGGTTCCACCCCTATGTTGTGGATATTCCCCGGATTCGTACGAAGCGTTTCGCTTCCACATTTGTATGGCGAGCGGCTTGGGAGCGGAAGTCCCTGCCTGCAGACTTGTTCCCCGAACGCTATAACTTAGACCTTTTCAAGGCGAGAGGCTTTATTTAGGTATCATGCTACATCCTCGACCTCATCGTCACTTTCCATCAGGTGAGATGGAGGACAAATGTGCACAAATTTTTATTAAAAAAAATGAATGTGGATTACACCACTATTGCGCTGATAGCCTCATTCGTCAGCTAAATTCGTAAACCTCGAAACCTCCATTAATGTGAACTTTTGAGTAGGCAGACAGAATTACTAGGAATTTACATGACAATATATGATTGAACCATTGACTTACAATTATATGGACGTCGGGTCCTCGCTAAAAGGTGTCCGAACTTATAGGGCGCTAAAATCGTATACAGAGCGTCATTCACGCTTTAGTCTTCGTTTGTTCGACTGACAGCGAAGCAAGCAAAATTAGACAGTACTGCGAGGACATTACAATTTAAACAACGTTTTAGCTTTTTCATATTCCTTTACATGTCACTACGTTTAAATAGGTTGACTTGGGACATTTTTGTCGTGGTTTTTGTATTAGACCCGTCGTCCATTTATTTGTAAGTCAATGGATTGAACCTTTACTTTATAACTAAAACATATTGTATTTTAAGCTGTAATAGCCCGATATTGCGTTTGAAGAGTAAAAAAGACATACATCCAAAAACGGAGTTACGAGGTTTTGAAATTTAGACGACATATCGCACTGCTATTACAATAGTATTATAACTCAAAATAGGTGAAATTCATGATTATACTATTACTGAAAGTAAAATTTAATTCTCTTCACGTCAGTACAAGTGCCGTTAGAATATTAAGAGAAAGAATTTAACTCAAAATTAGAAACTTTTTGTAAGCTAGTTCTGGACGCAACAGTCTTTACTCAAAAACATGAAATGTTTCTTTTCTACTTATAACTATATTTGGCAACGTAGGAAATTGTTTAGATGTCTGTAATAAATTTTAACCTATACATAAATTTTAATGATCTTTCACAGGAAGTAATTCGTTTTTCATCAATTCTGTAATAAATACAATTTTTGAGTTAATACATTATTGTATTAACAGTGCGACATGAGAAAAAATAGTTTCAAAAATAATCGCGAAAACCTAAGAATTTTAATTATATACTTACTTAAATGCAGAGTAATTAACGCAAGAGTAATGTGCTGTGCGAGAAAGAAGCCATCGTAAAAATGATCGCCCCAGCCGTGCCAGCTGCGTAAACTCAAGTCGTGTTTCTCTGTATAATTGCCCACGTTTATCGGGTAAACTATCCAGCAGGATGTCGCGTTTGTCACTGTCGATATTTGCTCGCAGAATTCTCGCAGCGTAAATCCGTACAGAGTTAATATGGATATGGCCGAGGGAAGGAATTTACACGCGTAACACCAGAACACGAAAATTACCATCTGCGAAAGATAAATGAAAATCGACTTTATTGTCTTACACAAAGGAAACTTTTACTTATACAGGGTTATTTATAATAACAACTTCGCAGGACTATGTAACTCACATCAAAAGCAACAACTTTTGTTAATAATAATAATCGCTTCCAGCACAAATGCAGAAGGCGGTCCTGCTCGATACGACACGTATTGTTCGCCGGTTCTTGAACCTGAGTCCCTAACCCCGGCCAACTGTGCCATTGCGGCGGAATACCGCCTCTCCATTTAAAAATTCAAGATTAATTAAGCCTTGGGAGAGGCGAGAGTCTAAAATAGATATCCAAAACAATAATAATTCATTTATTTGTGAAAACACAGGTTGTATAGTCGTTGGTATGTACAAAATAAGTATAGTTGACTGTCCGGCTAGACATTAGGCATACAAAAATATTACAGGTTATTATATTAAACATTCACTCACATTCGCTTGGACAGACTAAACCAGGTGTAACACGTTTCTTTTTTAATAATATTACATGGGCGTGCATACATGATTTAATAGTTGGTTAGTAATTTAAACGCGGTGATAGTTACATGGGTCAATTTTAATAGTAACTACACGTCAAAATATTAATTGTTACAAAGTACTTTAAATATCGTAGTTAGGTATTATTTTGACATCTAGTTA